ACCCCGGAATGGAATGGGAATGGAATGGGCCAAATTCTTTATATATATATATATATATATATATATATATATATATATATATATATATATATATATATATATATATATATATATTACGTTTAGCTTAACCGAGCCAGTCAGGGAGTCGGTTGTTCAGAAATGAAACGAGCAGGAAACTGCGAACCGCAGACTTATACGGAAAAAAATGCAATACAAAAAACAAGCATCAAAGCAAAAAACGGGGGGAGGGGGGGGGGGGGGGGGGGGGCGGTGGCGCCTTTCATCAATGAAGTTCAACACATATCCGAACGCGTCTGCGCCTCTAATATTGCACGGCTCAAGGGTACGTCATCAGCCGACGTGAACGTGACCCGCTGCTCTGGTGATCCGATACCCAGGAAGGAGGCCAAACGTGGCCTCACTGTGCGGACCCAGACTTCGTACACCTGCGACTTGTCTCGAGCGCGCTGTTTCTCGGAGAGCTCGCTCCTGTGCCGGCCATCTCAGGTCGCAATACACGGGGTCTCTGTTTGAATGATGCTAGGCGAAACTTCAAGACTGCCATTCATGCGTCGGAGGCGGAGAGTCGGCAGGAAGGACCGTCACAACAGGGATGCCACCGTATCGATTTTTCCACCGTAACAGAAGTCATGTGCTTCAGGATGCTTCAGGTGGTCCACTTTTCTCGAAAATTCCAAATGCAACAGCCTGCATGGTCTTCAACGAGGTCACCTACAACGAAAGTACGTATTGTCCTTTCATAAAGCAGCGTGAGTAAAGTTTCATGTTCAAGGCAACACCTACAGATTCAGGAATACTAGTTCACCCCACCGTGACGTCATGTGATCAGTGCTGACAGGGGCGCCCTTATTGGACAGGGAAGTGATGTTTTGATGAAATTTATTTAGAGGTCGAAGTCTTTTCGCATCACTGGTCAGTCAGAGAGGATGTCAGGGAAGGGACCGCGATCAATCCTTGATGGAACGTTTTTTCAACCCATTGAGGACTCTTCGTCCGGAACCACTACCTTCGAGGCGAAGTGCCAAGCCTGCGGGAAAGTAATTTCGGGACCAAAAAAAAAATATCTTCCGCTTGAAACTTAAAGCCTCATCTCAGTTGGCGTCTCGAAAAATTTCGAAATTGTATTGCATTATCAGTATTTATATTTCTACCCTCCCTAAAATGTATTCTTGTAGTTTAATTTCCAAAGACTTTTTGCATCCTTTTAAAATGTATTTCCGATACGTATCGGGATACATTTTTACAGATATATTTGAGACTTGAGTGTCAGTATTTTAGCTACTATTTTCGCCTATCCCAGTATTTGTATTTCAAAATACATTTTTGAATATTTCTGCCGAACCCTGCAACGTAATGCAGCTGTCAAGTGACACTTTTTAACGTTTAGGAATTAGAGGAATGGAATGGAACGATTCAGCCATTCCAGGAGTGGGAGTGGGCCCAGCGTCCCCATTCCTAGGAGTTGAAAGGAATGGAATTATCGAAAACTCTAATTCCCCGGAATGGAAATGGAATGGAATGGGGGTGCCCATTCCGCAACACTGGTACTGACCCCCCGAATGTACAGGCCTCGGAACATCCGCTTAGGAGCATCTTCACCGTCTTCCTTTATCAGTCACTAGAAGGCCGCCATTGGTATGCCGTTCCACAGATGATGATAGTAATCAATGTGGCCAGACTGAATTTCGGAAAGTGTCTTTGTGTGTTTTGTACTTCGAAAAACCTACGAAGGAAGGGCCAGTTTTGTACGGATATTCATCCTTCCGAAGCTTTTCTTGAAAAATTCACAAGTAAGATAATGTGCACAAAAGGTGGTGCATCTGAGGGTTGAAACAGAGATTGTAACATGTATTGTATCAACGTGAGAATTAAATTGTCAATATAAGGCTTAAAATTCATTGTTTTAGTCTTGGCTATTTTGGGCTATATTGTTTTTACGACTTTGGCTATATTTGGGCTATACCTGCCAGTCGTTTGGCGGTTTTTTGGTGGGACCATCTGGCAACACTGGTTTCGCGCGTGATGCGGCCTGCGGAGTGCAGGCCCGCTGTGGATTTTCCGTGTCGATTTCTTCAAAGAAGCCCAAGACATTCTTGTGAATCGTTTAGTGTTCGGTTCGGCAAATGGCAGCGTGTGCTACATCGTGTTGAATCTTTACGGATCACTTCATTCTAGTTTTTGTGTTTGAGTGGTTGTTCTGCAGTGCCCGTGTTGACATATAAGTCGGATTACATCTTTCAAGTCTGGTATTTTCAACGTAAGTGTGCTGCAACCTACTTGGTCATCATTGCCCGTTCTTGTATGGGTAATCTTCCAGATAACCTCTAGAATTGGGCAGTGTCTATCTCCTGGCAGCCGGGAGAATAATTTTCCCGCAATCTTACCGACAGTCGCCTGCTATATTATCTGTCTGAAATAATGTCACAACTGCAGGTAGAATACTGGCTTTTTTATTCTCCCTGCGTTTCACAATAATACGTTTTGTGGCTACCTTCCTGGTCGACATTCACGTTTCATCGACATTTGTTTATTTGCTCACACGGACAGCCAACGCCGCCCTGGTGGTTCAACTAATGTCTTGTTCAAGATGGCCGCCGTGGTACCGCAGCCTTAAAAAAAGGTTTTTTTTTTTTCAACGGCAGGAAAACAAAAAGCTCTTTTTGGTTAGCAAAAAGTGGCGTCCTTGTATGTAACTTTTAATTAAGTTGGCAGTTTTAACATTGGCAAACAAATGCACCACCTAATTAACCCCTCGTGTTTTTTTTTTTAAGATTTATTTGAAAGGGTCTGGAATATTGTGCTACATAAATCAGTGTAATAATTTGTAAATTTGTGTTCATTCGCTGTACCTTGTGGTATGTAAATAATTCAGTGCAAATTTATGTGTTACCATGTTCACAAAAAAATAAAAACAACGAAATACACGTGAAAAAAACCTGCTTCTGTTTTTTTGTTCACGAAAAAAAAAACCGCATATATATATATCAAGGGATGCAAGAAAAAAAAAGTGGAGAAAGAAAAGCGAACGGGCGCAAACCACCAGGGCCACCCGTTCGGCGCCCCTATCGGCAGGCGTGGTGCATACATTAGAGAGTTTTAGTAGATCGTTCCCATGACTCCGATAACGATGCCCGATACTCCGCCACTGCCTCCCTTGCGCAAGCATAGTGTCGTTATCGGGGCTATTTGAGGTATCGGAACGATCTACTAAAACTCTCTATTAGAGAGTTTTAGTAGATCGTTCCCATGACTCCGATAACGATATCCCGATACTTCGCCGCCGCCTCCCTTGTGCATGCATAGTATCGTTATCGGGGCTATCGGAGGTATCGGAACGATCTACTAAAACTCCCTATTAATAGCCCCTTCCGCTGGCAAATAGCGAGCGCTCGGCGCGCGCTCGCCGAGCGGATTCTTGTTTCCCTCGCGAGATGAGAGCAATCCCTCCGTGTGCCGCTTGTAGATCTGGAGCCAGTGGGGCGCTCGCCGAGCGGCTCCAACCGCTCCGTGGAAAAGTGGCGGAGCGCGTCGAGCGGTCTAGAGTAGTTCTCCGCGCAGCCTTTTTCGGAGGAGTACGATTTGTAGTCGCAGCATTTCAGTTTCGATTTCAACGTTCCGGCGACCGGCGAGCAGAGGTCGGCATTTTAGGTCGCCCTCACTCACCCTCACCCTCACAGCCACACTCACCTAAACCCCTCACTCACCCTCACAGCTACACTCACCTTCAGCCCCTCACTCACCCTCACCCTCACAGCTACACTCACCTTCAGCCCCTCACTCACCCTCGCCCTCACAGTCACACTCACCTTCAGCCCTTCACTCACCCTCACTGAACCTCATGGCCCTCACGCCACTCACCGCCCTCACCACCCTCACGGCCTTCACCGCCCTCACGGCCCTCACGCACTCATAGCCCTCACGCCACTCACCGCCCTCGCCGTCCTCACGGCCCTCACCGCCCTCACGGCCCTCACCGCCTTCACGGCCCTCATGCCACTCACCGCCCTCACGCCACTCACCGCCCTTACGCCCCTCACCGCCCTTGCGGCCCTCACACCCCTCACGCACTGACGGCCCTCACGCCACTCAGGCCAGCTTCAGATGGGGCAATTTCGCCCAGAATCTTTACGTCGCAACACCAGCAGCACGGGTCGCCTGCGATAATACGCAGCAACCAATTGCTGCAATTTGGCATCGTCATCATAAAATTTTATTTTTCTTGCACTATTTAGACACAATTACGCATTATAAACGTGTTTTTATGCATTTAAATCTCGTTAAGAATACTAATGCACCTTTCTGAAACAGTTTATTTCCAAAAAAACGATCGATTTCAAACTAGAACCAAGTCTTTCGGTGTCATCATCACCGGCACGAGGTATCACGTGAAAATGTTTCGTCCCTGATTGGTTGCAGCCGCTTCAAACGTATTCGAATTGCTCCGAGTTGCTTGCTTATTTCGAGCCGGACCCGATCTCAGCAATCCGTGTCGATCTAATGAAAGCTAGAGAGCAACCCGCCATTAACACCAAAATTGCTGAGAAAGATGCTCGATCTGAAGAAGCCTCACGCACTCACCGCCCTCACGCACTCATGGCCCTCACACCACCTCATGCATTCACCGCCCTCACGGCCCTCACGGCCCTCACGCCTCTCATGCCACTCACTGCCCTCGCGCACACACCGCCCTGACACCACTCACGCACTCATGGCCCTCACGCCACTCACCGCCCTCACGCACTCATGGTCCCCACGGCCCTCACCGCCCTCACCGCCCTCACAGCCCTCACGGCCTTCACCACCCTCACAGCCCTCACGGCCCTCACTCACCCTCACACTCATGAATTTTCCTGGTTCAGAAACTCACTCACCCTCACCTCACCTGTGAAGATGAGGGTGAGTGAGGGTAAGTGAGGGCCCTCATGAGTGAGGTTTGCCGAAGTATGCCGGCGATGGAGTGAGGGAGGGAGTTTCGCGGCTTTTTGGTTTCGTTTGCTGGGTAGGCTCTCTTCTTGTGCTCGCTTTCGTTCCTCGATCTCGTCATGACCGACTCGACCGAGAGTACTGCGGCTTTGGCGTCGTTGCAGTTAATTTTAGGTCTATTAGAAAGCAGTGACAGCAGTGACAGCGAAAGCAGCGACAGCGACGAAGACGACGGAGATACAAGCTCCTCCAGCTCGAGTGACGACGAGGCAGCCGTTCTCGGCGAAGTGTTCGCCGAGACGTTCGCCTTGCCAGCGAAGAGGCCCAAGATAACCCGTTATGTCGAAGACGTCTTGCGCGCCTATTCGGATGAAGAGGTATGTCGTTTCTTCGTTGTGTGGTCTCTGTGAACCGACCATCTCCCTTGCAGTTCCGACGCAACTTTCGCCTCCAACGGGAGCCCGCCTACGCGGTGATCGAGAGGTACGAGCGGTCTGCATATTACAGGGGATCGATTCACGGAGGGTCCAACCCGAAAACCGCCGAAGTTTGCATCCTCTCTTTTCTCTGGTGAGACAAGTTTTGCAGGTCTCAATGTAGCTAGAAGAAAAATTGACCGATTTGAACACGATTCCCGATCCAGCCCATATTATACAGCTGGCACGGTGGTTGTACTGTAGATATGCCGCGGCGGTCGTTTCCAGATGCCAAAATAGAAGCACGAAAGATACAAAAGAAATGGAGACCCACTAGAAGCCGTTAACTATATATGTATTAATTGAGCATATTAAATTGACTTTGGCAATTAAAAGTTAAATCATTGCGTCTTTTTTTAATGCGTCTTTTTTTATTTTTATTTTTTTTGCTAACATTAATCATTTCAATATCTAAGGGAAAAACAACCTTGAGACATAGGTACAAAAATTGGGACAACACAATACTCTCAAAACTCAGCCTACTCAGCTGCAAAATGTATTATCACGCGTCTTCTTTCTAGAGGACACAACTCCTCAAATAACGCTAATGCCAACAACCGTGTGTGGTTGACGGTTTGTTGGCGTTACCGTTGTTTGAGGAGTTGTGACCTATAAAGGAAATCTGTGGAAATAAACGTTGTAGCTGACTTTTTAAACAGTAAAGAAACATCAAACCGTAGAAGATACAGAAACAAAGACAGGATGATGTCTCAAATTCCTCTAATTCGTCTATTTAGGGACAAAGACTATACAGGTCAAGCGCCTAGTCTACATCACACAATGTAAGGATGTGGACAACCTCACAGGTTGACGCAATAAGGCAACATCCATCCTTGAACTTGAACTTGAACAGTAGGATCTCTCTCCGTTTTCATTTTAAACACAGGCACCACTTCTGATCCCAAAGACGCCCCCTCACCCTACTACCCCCAAAAAGTACCTAAACGTGCCCTTCGGGCCAACACACGTCAAAACCCAAAAAACAGCAACAACAACAAAAAAGTGCTGTACAGTTATTTTGGACAATCACAAACAAAAATTCACTTAAGAAAAAAAATTGCATCACATTTTTAAAACGCTTTTTGAATTGCTTCACAACTGTAGCGAAGCCCGACTTATAGACTAACTTGCTGCCCTGACATCAAGCAGCTGCTCGATTTCTGCGCACGCGCAGTGCCCCCACCTGATGTGGGCAAACGTGTGCTTGTTTGCAAACAGCACGTCAGTCTATACAATTCCCTAGAGATTTTATCTGCACATCCTTTACTACTCTCTTTACAATATAAGGTGGTGGACTAAAGAAACTAGTTAGCCAAGTTTGAGACGTCGTCCTGCATTTTTCCGTCTCTTCTACGTTTGGATGTGTCTTCTCTACCCCAGTCGCAGGTTAATTCAACATGGTTAATATTCACCAGCTCGCCTGCACCCTTACCATATTTTCTCTAGTGTCAAGGATTTTTTCCTTACGATTAATCACCAGCTTGCCTGCGCAGTAATCTTCATTTCACTTGTGGTTACTTGCATATTTCTGAACTTAGGCGTGGGATCATTCTTTTTTTTCTTTCTTAATATTTCTGCTTTATTATATTTCACTAGCAGTTTGATGGAGGTTGAAAGCAACCACATGTTCTGCATACAGTATAGTCTCTTCATATTATAAAGCGCAAGGGACAGACATGGACATGAAGTAGACAGGACAGCGCTATTGCACTTTATAATATCAATGTAGTTAAACCAACTAGCCCACCTCAATATTTTAGTATATTGTCTCTGCATCATAACAAATTATAATTAACGTCTGCGATTTGACTCAAAGAAACTCAATTTACGCTGCAGGTATGCTGGCAACAAAACCTGCATTCGAGATGTTGCAGGCCGCTTTGACATGGGGGAAAGCACCCTTTCCCGCATCCTGAATCGTGTGGCTGAGTTCCTGTGCAGCATTGCTCCAGATGAGATCCGCTTTCCCGACGATGTGGCAGCCCTTGCCAAGGATTTTGAGGAGGTTCGTTTTGTGAGCTCGCTTATTTACGTATGCTGCTACTTCGATATTATTGTGACAATTTCAGGAGTGGGACAAAAAAGAAAGAGATAATATCATACAAACAAATGACTGAACAAAATCAGAACAAGTTCAAAACAAGATCAAATTGACAAGAGCAATGAAAGGCAGTCAGAAATTGCTTTAAATATGCCATGCATGCAATGATATTGGGTTGGGAACATAATTAGTTTACACAAACTTAATGGCATTAGTGTGACCCAAGTACACTCGCATGAAATGCCACTGACGAGGCGCTTCATTATGGTATAAGTTAATTCAGGGACAAAAGCAAACTATTCATTTCAGTTTGTGTTTTGCAGAACTGGATGACATAGTCACGTCAATTTCGGTGTTGTAAGACCCATGGAAACATGGTTTAACACGAGCACTGCGTAAGCACTTGATTTGTGCTTATGGCAAGCCTGGGCAAATATTTGGGTTGTGATTCGTGAAAGTACAATCACTACTTGTACAAGAATAGGCAAACTTCAACCATGTCTGGAGCTCAGTATGCGCCTTGTGCTTTGCCAACCCTAAAGCATGGCAATGATAAACATTGATAACATATAATCTGAACCAGATCATATGAGGCCACTTGTTCTGGCAGTAAGTTGTGGGGGTGATCATTGCCTGTCTAAACTTTTCACGCAACTGTCTATGAAGAGCAAAGCTAATGCATAAATTATAAGTAAAGGATGTCAAGGGGATGCTTATGGCAAGTTCAGACCAGAATTAAAGGTTCAAAGTTGGTTAAAAAAATGTTTTACTGGCGACTAATGAAGCATACGACATATGGCTGCATGCAAGGAACTCCCCGAGGTGTTTGTAGATTATGTGTTCTAATAATTTGCATTTAAGCTGAGTGTGATTTAAGAACATAGGTCTGTAGTTTGACAATGTATTTTCTAAATTTATAGAACAGAAGGACTTTCGCAAGTTTCCATGAAGATGAAAAGGGAACTGCAGCAGTTGGTAGCAATTTCTGAAAAATAACCGCAAGGCAGTGTATTTCTGGGGGATGAAAATATTTGCATTGAGTCAGTTTTTTCAGGTTTCTAGAAATTGAAGCAACAGTACAGGTGATTACACACCTTGCATATATTACAGAAAATGACATTGTCAAAAAGACCCTTGACAGGTGTTGTATAACTGGTGCAGTGGTCTGCCTCAAAGTTTGAAATAAAAAGGCCACCTTTCATTTATTAATTTATTTCCTTTGATGGGCATATTACATATAGCATCTCTCCTTTTAGAACTTGGTGGGAATGAGTACACAGCACATAGTTTGAGCTCACATACCACGATCTTTTACTAGGTTTCAGGCTTTCCTGGGGTCGTGGGCAATTGCGTCGACGGCAGCTACATCGGCATCCGGTGCCCTGACAACAAGGTGAAGTCAACATATGTCAATCGACACGACAAAACTTCACTGACGTTGCAGAGCATCTGTGATCACAGACGCCGCTTTGTGGATGTTTTCACGGGCCCACCAAGCAAGATCCACGACTCAATGATTTATAAATTATCGTTTGTGTCGCGGATCATCCCATTTCTATGCTGCATGGGCAAGTATCACCTTCTTGGCGATGCAGCATACCCGTTGAGGGAGACTTTGGTCATCCTTTTCGGGATTATGGGACATTGACTAACCAGCAGAAGAGCTTCAACACTAAGTTGAGCTCCACAAGGGTGCTCATTGAGAATGCCTTCGGGCTACTCAAACAGCGCTTCAGGCAACTGATAAACCTGGAGTTCCCGACAGTGCGCCGAATGTCCACGTTTATCATTGCTTGTTGCGTCTTGCACAACTAGTGCATTGATGCTGGGGACACTGAAATCCGTGATGCTGAGTTGGAAGAGCTGAGGCGCCAGGAGTTGCTCAGGGTGGACAGCAGGGGCTCGCCCGAGGAGGACCTGCCGAGCGTCTCTCTCTCGGATGCCGCACTCAGGGTGCTCGGACGCATTAAGAGAGACAGGTTGATCTCATCCCTTTTCCCCACTGCTTGAGCTCGTCGTGCAGGCACCAAGTGCTCAATGGCACCCTGAGGCAGCTCCTGATAGCCTAACTATGCAAGTGCCAGGCATTCGGGAAAAACGTTTACCGTGTTTTTTTCACCGACAAAGTAACTCTGTGTTTCTCATCAATGCTCACTCTTCATGCAAATATGGTGCTGCAGTCCGGAAAAGTTGCCAAAGTTTCAGACTTTGCCGTCGCTATTAAAGTTATAAGCAGTTTTCTGAAATTTTCAGTGAGAAAAAGGAGGATGGAGGAGATGAGGCCCACGAATACATGGTAATAAGTGGTGTCGGCTACCTAAAGCAAACTCCATTTTCACATTTAAAATTTAAAAGAAATGACATAACTTGAATAGATAACAGCAACTTCCGTTTCGACATTCGGGCAGAGACCAATTGTTCGGTGACGCAGTTTATTTTTTGCGGTGAAAAGTACACTAAATATTTTTCCTTGGAAACAACTGTACATGGGTAACTTACTCTGTCATGAATGTTACCTTTTAATATCATTTAAGGCATGAAATTGTGTTGGAACCAAAACATTTTTATTATTTGCTCAATCAACATGTATAATCTTGAGTATATATATAACAAATGATGCTCTGGAGTATGTGGAAAACTAGGGTATGTACAAAACATGAATAATCAAGTGTAATGAGCTACAGAAACATTAAGATAAAATTAATCACTTTGCAGTGTTCATGGTGTCCAGCACTCGCTCCAGCATGCCAAGAAGATTCTGGTGCCGCTCTTGACGCTATTTTGCACGATCCTCTCTCTTCTTTTCCCGCTCGTCTCTACGCTGATCGCGCTCCACACGTCTTTCCTCCTTGCAGGCACGTGCTTCATCTTTTTTTTTTTCTGAGATCCTCCATTTTTGAGAAAAAGTGTTCCATATGCCGCATGCGCTCAGGGTTCTGCCGTGGACAGGGTGGATTTTTTAGGGTGGTACATTTTGCTGATGTTGATGGTCTGGGATTTTCCGTGGAGGAGGCTGGTGCATGTAGAGTCGTTTGTTTGTATACGGCCTGAGAAACACCCATCATCACTTCCGGCTCCACACTGTCATCAGCTGCCCTGATGAGATTGAACTCTTCAAACTCTATGTGTTGCCGCGTTGCTCCACTTTTTCCATTGCTGTCCACAACCTTGGTTTTTCTTTTCTTGGGGGTTTTGAAACGTGTGTCACATTGCTGTGCAGTGTAGTGGGAGTTCATCCTCTCATTTATCTCTTCAGCAATTTTAATAAACATATGATTTCTTGTTTTAAAACATTTAAATGGTCCAATCTCTGGAAAATATCGAGAGTAGAGGGCTAGAAGAAGCTTGGATTCTCCTTCTGACCATATGCAAGCTGAAAACAAAAACACAAAGCTGTTGAATAACCTAATAAACTGGGCAATCTTTCGATGCAGAATGAAGGTGCTGGGCTTATACGGCATATTTGTGGGGTTTCCTATGTAGTATGCAATTAAGGAATATGTTAATGCTCTGCATGAATCGGGTACCTGGCAATGACGGTAAATGAAATAAGCTCGCAAGACCGTGACAGGTTCAAGCGGAAATTGAATACCGACGACGAGAAACTGTCGAGAATGTTTCAAGGGGCATAAATGGGATGCATGATGCCGAATTGCCAAGTAAAAATATCATGCTGACCAGCTTCACTACTGCACTGGCAAAATTGGCCCCATATTGCAAAAGGTCATGGAACATTAACCATGCAGCCAATTTGTCACCACTCTGAGTAAAACTAACATCCTAGCATTCACTGCTACCATATATCTTCTGCCACGGAGAATTGACTTATGAAGCTTTGTAATCCAAGTGAAGGGTATACTTTGTATGGATATATGTATGACTTACGCTGAGTACTGGAGTTCTGTGGGGCGAACCGTCGGATTCTTCCGGTACAGGCAGAATGCCAGCGTAGCTTCCACCATTGTGGTCATTTCCTGTTGAATTGTAGGGCGCATCATTGATTAATGTGGCATCAAAATAATTGCAAAAGGAAATGAGCATTCCTGCAACCATTCACCATACAACTGTTTTTTTTTTTTGTTTTTTTTTTTTAAATACTGCAGTTTAGATACGTGGGCCAATGGGCAGCTATAGGTGTGGCTAGACAGAAACAAAATCGTTTTAGCGCCATGTGAAACCAAGCACTATCTCCTGACAGATTGAATTACTCTCATTTACTTGTCATAGGAAAAAAAGAATACGGGAAAGCATCATGCTTTCCCGTATTCACTGTCGAATATTTTTGGCATGCTCACACCTGCTTTTTCTTTATAATTTGATGACTCATGTGCTGATTTCGGTTGCGCAACCGTACTTGACCGGCAATTTTATTGCGTACGCGAAGCTTTTGCGTGCGATCCACTAAAGTTAATTATTTTTGGGTGTCCAAGTTGAAGCGGTGCGTGTTATTTTTCGATCTCTGTCCGGATGATACGAAGTTTCACGTTTTCACTCTGTGAGTGAAGTGAGTTGGTCAGTGCTAGCATCGAAGGCTTACTTCGAACTCTAATTTGGAAATAATGTCTCTGTTGCTGCATCGCGGACAAAGATATATATGCTCTTATCACTGTAGCAAAAGAATGTGGCAGGATTTGTGCTTTTGTTATGATCGTGTACCATTGTAGTCGACGTCATCCCAGCACGGCGTATCGTTTTTGTATTGTGTTCAGCCCTGCGAACCACACTTAGGAAAAAAATATGTTTTTACCTTGTTTGTTCAATTTTTTGTTATACTGTAGAAACACATTGCGCCCCGTGTTTTTGAAGGCACGGTAGACGGTGGTGACGGTGAGGTGGCCGACCCCCATGTCCGCCGGCGTCTCGCTCGACCTCCTCGGAGGACAGGTCGTTTTTACTGGTGACTGGTGCATACGTGGAGCAACTCCGCGCGCATCACGTTCTTCATCTCAGAGAACGTAATACATGACTCAGCTCCATCTCGTCATTGCTCCAAAATAACAAGTGGAATTCGCAACTGTAGTCGGTGACGGGTCAAGAACGAAATGGAAGCTCCTCCCACCCTGTTCCACTTCAGCGGAGCGAACGGTGGGGAGGAGGTCGCCCCCTCTCCAGCCTTCGCATATGGCAAATTTTAGTTTATTAGGCCACTAACTGTCAATTTATGCTCGTTCCTTTACGTCCGCCGCAGCCGATAATGTTATCCCGTAGGAATACCAAAAGTATTATTTCTTTCAGAAAAAAAAAAAAAGAAGAACATAATAATAAAACGCCCGGCATATCAAAGCTTTGGCAACGCTTCACGTGTGTGAAGTTCGATGACCGACAGAGAACCACCACTGGCCGTGCTCCCGAAGCGGGGAAGTGCAATTTATGGAGACCGATCATATTATCAGAAAGATGCAGACAATCCAGGAAAAGTATTCTCGCAACTATGAGGTTCCAGTTGTACTTACACATGCATTATCATCAAATTTGACGGAGTTCCTTCGAACACTAAAGAGTTGTCAAGAGTAAAGATTATAAAGGAGAATATCAGCAGGAATCTATTGTTTATTCAAAACAAAACAAGCATCAGAAAAACGCATTTGGGCGGCCGGGGCGGCAAGAAGCACGGACTGCGCGCACCCAGCGTGGAACCAGCGAATGAGAGGGCACTCCTAGCAATCTGTTTTTGAGAGCCACGGTATGCCGGCTGCCGGCCAAATGTCCCCTTTAATTTTATTATGGCTTTCGACACGTAAGTACACGCTCGAGAATTTTCAACAATAGGGAGTTTTCGTAGACCGCGTTGTTCCTCCGCTAAGCGTTCCGCAATGAAGAAGTTGCTACTGCGCCTGCGCGCCGATAGCCTTGACTGTGGAGTTCCCGCTATCGTAGCGGGTTGCGGAGGGCCATGCGGGACGGCGAAAACGATCTACGAACACTCCCTATTAGAGAGTTTTAGTAGATCGTTCCCATGACTCCGATAACGATACCCGATACTCCGCCACCGCCTCCCTTGCGCATGCATAGTATCGTTATCGGGGCTATCGGGGGTATCGGAACGATCTACTAAAACTCTCTAATATCACGCGAGCGCCGACCGGCCTGTAGATCAGCGCATCGTCACGGCGCGAAGTAGCGGTATCAACGACAGTACGCGCGTGCGCAGAAGAAACGCGCCGAGGTCGGCGTCGGCTGCTAAGCTGTTTCCCCAATCACGACCCACCCCTGGCGCGACGCTCACCGCTTGCTCCGCCCCATAAACAGGGGACCTATATAGTAATCAAAGCGACACACACGGTACGCAAACACGAACAGCAGCCAGTAGGAAGGACACCGACACGAGCTTAGTCAGCGAACGAAAAGACAGACACAAACTTCACGCTAGGCACACAGAGCAGGGGTAGTTACATGGATGAGAGGCATGCGCAGACGGAGGTAAGCAGTGCACAATAGATACGCGAAAACTCGCAGCAACCGAAGAACCACGCAGAAAACACGTTCGTGCACACGAACCAGAAGCACGTGCGTCACGCTGCGTATCGACAGCGGAACTGGCGATTTTGGCATTTCGGTAATTTGAAACTTCGGTATCGACTGCGTGAACGATTGAAGGCCCGTTCACACTCTTGCGACCGAGTACGACTGAGAGAGACGAGATTTCTTACAACTTCTTAAATGTTTCTAGAATGAGGGAACACACTGACATTGTGGCGCCATCTATGCGGTGACCCTAGAACTGCATTTCACAAAAGCGAAGGTTTTGCGGGATTTCCGAGGTCAAATGTGCGTAATACCCATAGAAAGGCTCGTTTATAACATTGACAAAAGTTTTTCGAGCCAAAAAAAAAAGGATATTGCGCGAGAAATAAAAAAAAAATATGCCGGACCGCCGAGTTTACACTGCTTCCCAATAGATGGCGCCAGTGTGTTCTCTGGTTTAAAAAGTTTTAAGGAACCCAGGTTTAAGAGGTCGCAAGCAGTCGCAAGAGTGTGAACGGGCCTTTATTCAGCAGACTGAACCGCTGGAGCCTGGCATAAAAAAAATCGTTTGACAATATGAAAGCGATTGAAACTCTTCTTAAAAGCTATATTAGCAAAAAGTACCGTGTTATAAAGGACCTCACGAGTTTCGACCAAGTTTTCCAGCACGTTATTTTGCAAGAAACGTAAAGGCCCGTTCACACTCTTGCGACTGCTTGCGACCTCTTAAACCTGGGTTCCTTAAAACTTCTTAAACCAGAGAACACACTGGCGCCATCTATTGGGAAGCAGTGTAAACTCGGCGGTCCGGCATATTTTTTTTTTATTTCTCGCGCAAGATCCTTTCTTTTTTGGCTCGAAAAACTTTTGTCAATGTTATAAACGAGCCTTTCTATGGGTATTACGCACATCTGACCTCGGAAATCCCGCAAAACCTTCGCTTTTGTGAAATGCAGTTCTAGGGTCACCGAATAGATGGCGCCACAATGTCAGTGTGTTCCCTCATTCTAGAAACATTTAGGAAGTTGTAAGAGATCTCGTCTCTCTCAGTCGTACTCGGTCGCAAGAGTGTGAACGGGCCTTAAGAAGCCAGGTGTACAACCAATTTCCGAAGCTGGCAACGTATTGTATTGTATTGTATCGTATTCTGCGGCACAATCTCTTTGAAACGAGAGTCGAAGTTCGACACGCCAAAAAAGTTAAAAAAGAAAAAAGGAAAGAAAAGAAAAGGGGGGAGAGAAGGGGGGAGTTCGTCAGGGCCCACCATCTGTCGTCGATGGCCCCTGGTGGGCGGAGGGTAACAGCTACACGATCACGGTGGTCCGATCGGTACGCGCTGTCTTCTCGGTGCGCAAATCACCGTCGCACTTTCCACCACGCCTCCAGTCTT